TGCCAAACCTCTACGTACTGTTTGTAATGTTTTATTTTTGGTATCATAAAGGCAAAGCTAATAAAATAAAATAACATTGTCTACGTTATTTATTGCGCGTTAAGGACACTTTTTATCTCACACCCCGCTGTGACGAACTTTCACCCAGTCTATTACGGACACTCAACGGCATCCCCGAGCTTGTCCGCAATAACGAGAGTTGACTGGAATGACGAAACATGGTTTTCATGGAAACAGTGACCAAACTTCATGAGCAAAAATTTGTCAACCCAAACAATGTTCGCCGATCATTAATGTTGGAAACAATAGCAGAAAAGAAATAGCCATTTCTTGGAAATGATCAGAAAATAAAATTTATTGAAGCCTGTCTGAATTCTTTCCTTGCCAAACCGAAAACTGAGAAACAAAACTGGGAAACGCTGTCTAGCTATACTACTTACCTTTAGAAGAAGATCACACACGGGAGAGATGGTTGATTAAATACTGGAAGCGGCCTTGAGAAGATGTTATTATTCTCGGGATAGAACACAGCAGATGAGTCTTGCAGGCTATGAGCCGATTAAGAGTACCTCAGCAGCAAACCATCGTGATTTTCTGGGACTCTTCAGGGCTGTAGTGTAAAATAAGCAAAAACAGTCATGCCTGCTTGGTAAATTGTCGTTTACAATTTTTATGAAGAAAGTATCTCATTTGATTTACCGCAGTCCTCACCCTCTCAAAGTCTCCACTCGACTGTTTTTGCATGCAGAAGTCGTATTATATTCTCTGTCTTAGGTCTTCACCAGCTTGCTAATCCAGATTTTCCCAGAATCTTTAAGACAAAATATTTCTGAAAAGTCTTTCCACAGCCTCTCTATTGAAGACGTTAAGTTAATTATTGTTACAACAAATAAAGAAAAATCAAATCTCTATATGAAATGAAAACTAAACACATGATTATGTTTAATATTGTATCTAAGTAAACAAAAGTGAGCATTGCACTTTTTACATTTTGAAAATGGATGCTCAGTTTGCAGCCGTCGTTTGAAATCAAAATTTTCTTAGAAATCTACAGTGAGATCAAAAACAAATTACTTTTCATCGCAAGGCCTCATCATCTTATTGATTAAACTTAAAATGAGAAATGAGCTGTTAATTTCTAGTTTTGGAAGTTTGGATTCAATACCATAATTGAAACAACTTGTTAGTTACGAATAATTTGTCTACACAAATTTCGTCAATTCCCATTCTACTAA